ACCTGACGGTAATACGGTCTTTTAACGGTGTACGGTTTCGAGACTAAAGATAGTCTACGTCTATCGTGTATTGTCTATCTGACCTATTATCTTCTCGCTAAAACATTGTCGTTATTATCCAAAAGTCGTAATGTTCCCGTGTCATCCTCGTCGCTTGACGTCATTCCAAAGAATAGAAAAACATGTAACCCTTAAAAGCTATCTGACCGACGACGGATCGATCGATCAAGCAAAAGACACGTCTTCGAGAAGCTTTAATTTCTCGATCGAATCGCCGTGAAGGACCCTTCGCGTTCCAGAATGGTTCACGGATCGACTTCAGAAGGAGAAAGCCGACCGCCAAGTCGGCCACTTTGCATAGTTTAGCACCGTGACACCTCCCGGTGTCAATTAAATCCTTGTCGCTATCGGACTAGTCCCCTATACCCTTCAACTTCCAAATCTTCTCCTCCCCGCTATCCCGTGGCTCATGGTAGTGTTTCGACGCCGCTCCGATCAAAGCCAGTTGGGTGTTCGCGATGCTACCTAACCTTCGTTTTGTGGCGGTAGCCGAGGAAACTACTCTCTACTTTACCATCCGTTGATTTCGAAACTTGAACCGTTCGATCGATCTTATTATATTAGTTTGTCGATATTCTGCTTTTTCGATCGCTCTCTATCAGCCACGTATCGCGTTTTATTACACTTTAGTCTGGGCTTATCATAACCGATGTTCAGGATTTCATCAACGACTGTTAATTATAACTTACCTTCCTTTCCATGTTCGAGCGATGAGATTGATTCCCCGTAATCGAAACAGATTTCCATTTAATAGTCGAAATCGTATCCTCGCGACCGATACGCAGTGACAGATTGCATTCCCGACGATAAATTCGGATCCACCCCCCTGGCGAAGGGGTTGGTCGCAAAGGGTGGCCGGTACCAAGCGCGTACATAGCGTGCCCCGGCCAAAGAGCACGCTTTAATATCGTTTATAAATTATTCGCCGGAGATAGCCATCAGCATACAAATTGGTTCGGCGAGGAGCTGCGTTTCCTTCGATTCCCATCAAGCACGGATCCTTTTTCTACGAAAACGTCTGTCCGTGCTATCGATTCGACCTTTCTAACGTTATACAGTCGCTTTAATCAATTTCGCACAGTACGTGGATTAGCGATTTACAGTTAGCGGTGATAAACCGCGTGGAATATCGAACAATCGAGCAGAAACGAAGGAAACCAGAGACGACCAGATTTCGCCAGAGATAAGTATCGGTGAACTTTTGTACGGCTCGTTTTTCGATTTTATTCCGCGGGCAGCCAAGCAGTTTCGCGGTAATCGATTCGATCACGAAAGCTGCTCGTCTTTTCGTACTTCTTAAACGCGATACAGCTAAGCTGATATTAGCATACCCGTTCGACGGTGGATTAGTTTCTTAAATAGTCGTTCGCGAAATCCCTTCTACCTGCTCTACGTGTATCATTTTCTAATCTTAAATACTTAGTCATTTCTCTGGTAACTGCCTAAAAATTATACTACTTTGTACGGCAAGTGAGAAGTTGTTGAAATAATTTCGAGTCGAAAGCTAACATTCGTTTTTAGCGGCGGTTGAGATATGAAAGCGTTAACGGTTAGGACGAGCAACTATCAGCCAACGACGATGAAAAATCACGAGTGAAAGGATCAGGAACGGTGTCAGCGCGACGACGTCGTCGGATCGATTGCGTTGCATTAATTGACCATGAAAATGGAATGTCACGGCTCGTAGATTTTCCAGATTAGGCATTGCCGTGACTGCCGCTCGTTTCTGTTCAACGGTTTATCGCCATATTTTCCCTCGCCGCGCCGCGCCGCTCCGTGTCCGATCACCGATGCATTTTTCTGTCGCGTCATCGGTTACCAAGCGAACCTAACCGAGAAATCTGTTTAACGATGTCACCGAAACCTCTTTCGTGCCAAGATTAGTGCTAAGCCACGGTACGATGTCCAAACAAACGATCAAGAATATCGGTACATATCGAGAACCTTGAATTATTAATCGTTCGAGCATTTGTCCATCTTCCTTCGACGATGCACCGTCATTAATCGCTAATTGCGATCGTTCCCGATGCCGAACAGCTTTCTAATTTTCTAGCAGCGAACGTCAAACCACAGCCATGAAAGATTCATCGAGCTGGAAGGATAATCGAGGGAGTCGAAACATGCGACGAATTCCGCCCCGGCGAGCGTTCACGCATTTACGGAGCAACATTTTCATCACGCGAACTTTCATTCAAGCTGAAAAAACAAAACGAACAAACGTATTCCTCGGAACGTGATACTACAAGGCTCGTGGATCTTGCGAATCTTTTATCGTCACTCGTTAAAGTTTGCTTCCAGCTCTTCGAATGCGATATCCTTTACTTTCTTTCTTCGATTATTACATGGACGCACATGCACGCGCGTAACAGTGTTCGAACGAATAAATATTTATAAAGAAAATACGAGCGTTTCTGCTCGTGAAAAGGTGGAGACCGTTTAAGAAATGTCGATTACCGAGGGACAAGTTTCGTTGGAAATTGCAATATTAATGGGGAACACCCAAGTAAAAACCAGTCGACCGACTCCACGGAGATTTCGCGATTACGTGCAACAGTTTACAACGTGTTGCCGCGGGAAAGAGTTTATAATTATTACTCGTTGACGAAACTATCTTCCCGTGGATAGACTCGAGAAATAATATTTATCCAACATGATTCTTCATCCAACATCGCATTAAACTATTTGATATTAACATTCTATGTTAACCGGTCGAAGTATCCAGCGTCTTCGAATTAGCGAAAAAATTGAAAGGCAACTGAAAATGTGCGAGGAGGCGAGTCCGTAACGCGGTCGTGTACGCAAATCCTTAGCCTGGGGCATTTTTTCGTGGGCCCACGGGCGTGGATGAATTATTTATACCCACGTAGCTCGTTTACAATGTGGTCGCGATATTTCGTTGGGTAAAAGGAAGGGTTGTACCGTCGCGAAGTTTCGCGTTCCCGTGCAAAAAATACCGACTTACACGGCCCACGGGTCGCTGTTCTAATTATACAATCACGCAATTTGTACGTTTACGTGCGATTAAGTCGTTAGCTTTTATGGGGAGAGAGGAGGCAAGAGGAGCATGGGACGCGACGAGAAAAATTAAACAGCCGTGGTTGATTTTTAATGGGACGGTTTTGTTTATTCAACGATCGTTTGCGAATCGGAACGACCCGTGTCCTTGTCGCGACAACGATTATTATCCCACTTACGACGAAGATCGATTACGCGATTAACGGTGATTACTAGATCCGACAGCAAATGACAAGTTTCTTTTTCGTTTCGCTCGTAAAAAAGACGAGGAAACTGATCTTTTTTCCGTCTGAACCGATTATGGTCGCGATACGTCCGTAAAAGGGTCGTTTCCTTACACGGCTTTTTAGAAAATTACTTCTTAATCCTTCTCGAATAACTTTTCGATTCAAATTCGAGTCTTTATTCGACGATAAGTAACCTTTTAATCACTTACCTAGAGCAATCGAGGAGAATTAAATTAATAAACTCAACCCTCGAACGGCGACGCAGGATCAATTCACAGCCAAAGCGAAAAGAGTGTCGTAACTCGATTTCAACGATTTAAGACTAAACCTCGTTCGTGTTTCAACCGCTTTGAACTGTCGTTTTAAACGGAACACGATAAAGGATGATTAAACGGAGACAGTCGAGTCAACATGGTATTTTTAAATTAATATATATATATATAATTCTTAGTGACGTGGATTTCGGAGGGCGTTTTTAGGAGGTAGGGGGTGGTGGAGTAAAGGAATGGGCTTGGTGGATGTACAATATACAATACAAGCCACGGAATATCACGAGTTCTCGTGTTAGTTTTAGAACATTTCGATTCTCGTCGAGTTACATTTGTCTTTTTTGTTCATTTATTTTTATTGCTTCTTCTTGATCCTCGACAACGTGTCTTCCCTCTCTTTCTCTAAAAGCACAAGACCTGTACGCAACTCGCTTCGAGAAGTAACCGCAACGGTGAAAATAATGGATAAAATAAAGAGATCGATGGTTGAGCAAGGTTGTCGCGAAACTCGGTGCAAATGTCGCGGGGTTTCGCGATCGAACAGGGCCCCGTTACTCGACGATACGGCCCTGAGATATGGGCAGAAACGCGCGCGTTTCAGTCTAATCTCGTTTGCGCATAAATTTGGCGTATTTAACGCGTCTACGGTTCTTCGTATCTTCTCTCTTGACGGTTCGTCTTGCGCGACCGATCGGCCGTCTTTCTCGAACGATCGTTGCCTTTCGTCGAAACTCGAAATTAGGCTCTTCTCGTGGAACGTTTGCCACGAAACGTTGAGACATTTAGGAAACGATCGAACGAGAAACACGACCTTTTTTGACCTCACCGTCCTGGACGGGTCATTAATGGTACGATCGCGAAGAAATATCAATGTTTTCCGCAGGTTATCGCGACGCACAGAAAAGGAACGACGATACCAAAAGCTTCGAAATGCAATTCGAAAAATGGGCGAAAAGAAAAACGAATGTTGGAGAACTTTTAACAGACGTCGCATTTATTTAAAATTTTAAATAGGAAAAAAATAGTTTAAAAATCATTATAATGACAGTTTGCAACTGGCAAAGTGACGTTAACTAATTAAAAACACGTAGGAACAGATATAGGTATTCACATTTTTACATAATCGAAGGTGTTACGAGTTGTTCTGCGATCGAAATAGAATAAAGAAATACTACATGACGACCAATTATTTGTCAAGTTAACTACGGTTTATACAATATGTGGTAGTGGTGAAAAGAACAATGTTCGAGACGTTCGTTATTAACAATTTACAACTGAAAAAGGAAATTATCTACCGTCGAAAGAAGGCTGAACGGAAACAATTGCAAGTTCGCATTTGTACACGGTGACGGCAACAGACCTGCACGAAATTCCACAGAAATTTTTTTATCAAAACCGAAACGGAAAGTAAGGAATTTCTTTGAACAAAAACTATAAATTACATAGAAAATGATATTAAAAACGCAACGGTTTAATAACGCGATAACTCGTCGAAATGGAACTCTATCGAATTTCATAAAATTTTTCTATCGCGTAACTTGGTCATAGACGCCCTCCGTGTAAAATATACGGACAGTGCATCTTTCAGAGCGTATATTTTTAATCGAAGCCGACAGAATTTTACCTGGAAGACATTTATTACCTCGACGTCGAATGCAACGAAGGCCATTTCAACGAGCAAAGTTTATCGCGTGATCGAACCGTTGCGTTTTTTTTCGACTCGAGAAAAAGGAGACAATTTTGCAGGGGTCTTGATAAATTTGCGCGTGCGTAAATCTTGCATAGCTTCTAAAAGTGGGCAGAAATTCGAACGAAGAATTAACGAAAAGAAACTCCGCAAACGGAAATTGCACTCCGATCCCCAGCAAGACATCCGTAAACGGTACTACCCTTCTACCGATTCGATCAATTATTCCGTCCAGTACGATACTTGTTTTCCATTAGAACGCGAAATATTCATCGACGAAAGAGCTCGTTACGGGAACACGCGAGATTGTGAGGTGGTGAAACCGGAAACGCAGGGACGATCATCCCTCTTCGCTCAGGGAAACGACAGAGGCTCGAATCAGTTCGCTTCTACGTTTTTTTTTTCTCGCCGACAATTCGACGATTGACAGCGTTTATTCGCAATATATCTACGTCGATCGCTAACGTTTATACAAAGAGGAGACGAAGGAACGCGGGAGAAGGGCGAGCGGTGTCCTTTCTTCGAAGCAACAACGCGGAGAAAGGGTGGATCAACGTTCCCGAGAGAGAGATCGTTCGAGATAATGGTTCCGATTCGGTCCGAGAAGCTGGGGAAAAGACGCTAGCGACGGTGGTGTCCTCTACACAGCCAGCAAACGACGCTCGATTTCCGGTTTTTCTCATCTACAAAACACACGTTCGACGCGAACTCGAGACCGAAAGGCGGATCGTGAGACCGAATCGGATTTGGCTTCTTTTCCTTGGTTGCACCTACTCGATCTTTTTTTTACGTTTGCGCCTTGCTCGGTATTTTCGAGAACGTCGAGGCGCGATCGGGTACAGCGTGCGTTTATGCATCCTTTACGTCTCTCTAATAATTAATATAATATTATATTCAATAATTAATACAGAGAGTAAGTATTTTTATATATATATGTATATTTATATATATGTATGTTTATATATTTATATATACATATATATATATAATATAATATAATATCACTAGGGTACATATGTACAGGGGCTGCAAATGGTAGGAAGTGCTTTCGTATTGCAATATCTCCCTCTCTCTTAGATCTAAAACGCACGCGGGTGGGAACGCGGTCGCGCTATTTTCATCCCCGTTAGACGCCGTTCGAAACGATTCGACGCACTTGGAGCGCTCGAAGTTAAAGTCTCGCGAGATACGTTCGAATTTCGAAGCTGTCGAGACTCGCGTGGAAATCCACGATACTCCAAACGACTCGAAACGTTTGTTGCGCGTTCCGTGTCCGTTCCAGCCAGCCGCGTCCCACCCGTTCGTGCCCCGAATAACAATGTACACCGGCATCTCTCGTAGTCCAACGCGATCCACCTTCGGCCAAATTATGTACACTCACAGGGAGTCAGGCGTAGCGCCACGAACCGGAAAGCAACGGAGAACGAATCCCCGATCGTCAGGGTAAAATTGCACTTCATAGTCTCGAACGTGTCTCGTCCAGGTGATCGGCTGTTTCCCGGAGGGACGCGGATGAGCCCGGAGCGGTACCGAGCATCCCGGAACGGGGCACACAGGGTCCCAGAGGGTTGGACCGACGACCCTCTCCCCTGCTACGACGGCTCGGAGGTTGAGTCCGGCTCCCTCTCGTCGCCGGAGAGCTGTTCAAGGTCACAGGGTTCAGCCAGCTGCTCGTCTTCGGGGTCGTCGTTCGTGCTAGTGACAGGTTCGTTCTCCTGTCACGGACTCCCTCCGCCAGCGTCCGCGTCGGCTCTGTGACCGGGTGTCAGACTGGGACTGCGCCTCCTCTTCTCTTGCAGACCGTTCACCATGTTCTCGATAGACTTTAGTTCGCCGGCCGAGCTGCTGCTGGAGGTTAGGCCCGCCGTTGGAGTCGGGGAACCGGTGGGTGGCCTTGGCGGCGGAGACCTAGGACTGAGGGTCCTGCTGCCGGGCGTGACGGTCTCGAAAGCGGAACCGTGGGAGGGTGCCGGAAGGGTGTAAGGCGCGAACCGATGTCCCTTCAGCTGGTGCAACGGACTGGCCAACGGATGAGGATAGTGGGCGAACAGGGCCGGATGCTGGGACGCGGCCAGAGCCAGTTGCGCGTTGAACAGCATGCCCGGCGTCACACCGCCGTGGATTCCCAGGGGACTTGGCGGTATCAGGGGTCCTGGACCAGGGTAGAGGCCCGGTACCGGCGGATA